ACTCGTGAATAATAATGATGCGAGAATATTGTGGTTGATTTTTTGGAGATGTTGAATGTTTTGTTTGTATATTTGTATTTAATTAGTTAAATATTAGTTATTAAAAATATAAGATAGGATGAGCATTAGTGTACGACTAATTTGCCATTACAAATATGTCAAACTAAGGTTTTTTTAGGTAGTTCACTTTTTTAACTGTATTTGCATTTAATTAAATAAATAGTAAATATTAATTAAAAATATAAAATAGGATGAGTATCAGTGTATTACTAATTTGTCATTAAAAAAAATGTCAAATGGTGTTTTAGGTAAGGGTGTTTTAGGCAAGGGTGTTTTAGGCAGTTCATTTTATTACAAAACTGCTAGTCTTTTTAGAATAGTATAGATATAGAATAGATAAGAAGCCCAACTATTTTTCTTTTGTGGTCGGAGAGCCATGTTCTAAGATCATCATATGGTCATCCTATTTTGTCATAATTATGGAGCAACACAAATGGAATTTGACCACGACAAGAAAGATCTACCGTCATCTTTTTCCGATTTTCTTCTGCTACGCCACAGAAGTCGAATTGGTGTGCCTGTAAACCCAGCACTTGATCTCAGTTGCTTCTCCATGTATCTCCGGTATGTTTCAGGGAAAAGCTTAGAATCATTCACAAAGAACACGAAAGTGGGTGGTCTGATAGCCGCCTATAAAGAAATGAAAATAAAATATGGAAAATCTTTTGTTAGGCAGCTAGATGAAGTACTGTGATAATTACAAATGAAACAAAATAGTCCAAAATATTAATGGGATTAAATGGATTGAAATGGAAAATACATTTTTAAGAGTTCATTCAATATCAGATAAGTGATTGATAGAGAAACACGACAATATGATCGTGCACATATTTATCACACAGCACTAGGGGCATCCGCATCCGACACCATTCATTTAATCACCAATTATAATCTCTTTCATCCACATCATCATTCCACAAAATATCTCTCCATTTAAACACTCATATTTGTTGAATTATTTAAATGCACATGTATCTCTCATTGAATGGAATAGTTTGGCCCCACCATTTTTGCCAACTAAATGAATGACCACATTCATGTTAATGCCCATGTATCCATTTAAATGCTACTTCAAATGAATCAATGCGGATGCTCTAATAACACGAAAATTGTTTAAGAAGCTACTTTACAAGCAATATTACCCATCTGACAACAGTACCTGGGTACAATAATAAACACGGCCTCTTTTTCCGCCTCTAGTTCTTGGAGGTGATTTGAATGCAACAGCTTCTCGTAGAACTTGGTTCAATGTCGCTGTTGATAACCTCCTGGATCTCTCCTTTTCAACCATACCAGCAGCCACAGCGATCCTACAATATCATAAACTTTAAAATGCATAATATATATATATATGTGTGTGTGTGTGTGTGTGTGTGTGTGTGTGTGTGTGTGAAGAGGAAAGCATAACTAAAAATGAATTTCACACAAGTAAAATTCCGCTTGTGCTAGACTTAATAATGTCAAAGTAAAGCAAAGAATGGCATCAAGAAAAATGGATATAACTTTTCTGTGAACTAGATAAACAATCCGAAGCCAAGTCCATGAACTTAATATGAGATCTTGCATGAACAGAAATGTACTTCTCAACGTTATGCCCTTTGATTGCAGTTGAGTACACAATAGGTGCCCAGTTTAGAATTCGGAGCTTTCTTCTAACGTCGTCCTCATAGTGCATAGTAGTTTGCTGGTTTTTATTCGGGATAGTGTCCCATTTGTTCACAACAATCAGGCAACCCTTCCCTTCTTTTTCTATCTGTTCAGCAATCTTGAAATCCTTGGAAATTTAACAGGCATGACCAGAGAGTTATTAAAAATATAAATATGAAAGAACAGAAAAAAATATTGAAAGAAAAATGATTAAAAAAATAGACATAAAGGTCATCTGAGCGACAACAATTCAATTTTTTTATTGATACGCTTCTAAAAGGAAAAGGAATAAAAGAAAACAACATTCAACTATCTTCCATGTGAGTCCCAGAAACGGACTCAGGATAATAATTGGTAGCTATTTTTACAATAGTAGTTGGTACTAAATACTCAATTACTATTTTTTGTAATTTCCCTTTTGGTTAACTAGTAAAGTGCACGTGCGATACACGTGATGCATGTATTTCTTTTTTGCTTTTAAATTATGCTTTTTTATATTCATATACTTTATTCTTTTTTTTATTACTATTTTTTAATTGATAAAGAAAGTACTTTGCATAATGAATTGTAATAAATGTGTTCAAAGTTCAAACATAATTTTCAGAACCTTAACATATAAAGTCGTTATAAAAAAGAGTACATGAAAATTGAGGTTAATCTTGTCTATTGGAATTTTTTTAAATATAGGCAAAACTATAAAATATGTTCATTAGTGATTATTTTCTGCAATCGCAACCGTTATTTGTCATCCTAAACTACTGATATAGTTTATAATTTATCTCACTTGTCAACTTAACGTAAATTAGTGTGTATATTTTATAATTTTATCTTCCTATTTTTAATATGTTAAATAAATGTTACAACATATATTTTAGTTTTACAGTCTCAATATCGTCTATATTATCATTTGAAACAATTATTGATAGTGTTATTTTTTTAATAGTATTTCTCGCTCTTTATTTTGTCGTCATTCTCTTTGAATGTTACTTTATTGCTTCCAATATGTTATCATTTATTCAATGCAATTAGAAGTTAATTAATTTAATTTTATGTAATCTTCCCTACCTATAAGTTTTAAATTTGGTTAATTATCACATTAAGTAGATTTTGTTTTTAATTATTTTTATTGATGCCATACAAAAATCATAATTCAATGGATATTTACTAATTGTATCTTTTAAATGTAACTATGTTACCTTCCCAATGACATAATTTTCATATACATGAATCATAAATATATGCATGTTACAAATTCAATTTCTAGTAGAAGTTTAGTTTTTCATTTTCATTCAAATACTATTTTTATATTATGATAATTATTATGGAGTATATGGCACAAAATCTTATTAACACATGACTTCAATTATTTTACTAAATAGTTTAAGAATATCAAAACTAATTCTTTTGGTAGATTATAATTAAATTTTCACTTAAGAAAAAAAAGGTTTTAAATTAAAATTTTCATATTATGAATATTAAATGATTGTTTTGTACTTGAGAGTACATTTGATGATCAAATTATTGCGATTAAATAGTTTTTTGTCAAATGTCAACTAATTAATTGGTAATGAGTCATCCAAAATATATTATATAACTGCCTAAATTAATATAATATATATATACATGAAAATAAGTTAATAATGTAATGATTTTTTTTTTTTAATTTTTAGTTGTTAAATATGAAAACTTAAATTTTATTTTTATATTTTTTAAATGTATTTATATACATTACTAAAAATTTTATTTATATACATAACTAATAATTTTTTTAATTATTTTATTTACATTGTTGTACACCATTTATCATTTTCTAACACAAACCAAATTTGTAGGTTAAAATACAACTATTTATATTACTATTAATTTTTATTATATATAATTGGTCTATTGTTTAATGGTAATTCTTATTAAAAAAATGTTTGTCCTATTTTTTTTACCCTTTTTCCTTCTTTATTTGCCTTTTGTTTCCCCACTTTTAGGTTTTTCTTAGCGTTTTCGGTCCGCATTGTTAGTCATTATAGGTTTTCCGTTTACCGTTTGTGCTTCATTTGTTTTGCTTTTCTTCATGTGTTTTCTTTGTTTTTAGTTGTTGGAGAGCAGGTGGTTCCGGTCGAGCTTTGAACATCTTATCTCGAGATATTGTCCTAAGAATTCCAGCCGATGACGTACCACAGAGACCCCGTTACACGGAGGATGACGCTCACGACATTCCAAGACCCGCGACCGGCGGACATGTCGCAACCCGCGACCTCTTGCCCTCCGCGACCCGACGACATTACACCGGGACTCCCAGCACCCGCGACCCGCGGACATGCCGTGACCCACGACCTCATGCCCCCCGCGACCCGCGGGTCATCGCGATTTGATTTTAAAATTTGTGTTTTGAACCGATTTTCGTTGGCTAATTTATGGGGATTGGTGCCCAACCCTAAAAGAAACACTTCATTCGTATTTCTCATTTTTTTCTTCACTTTTAAACAATCTTTAGCTAGCTTTAATTTTGTTCTTCGAGAGTGATATTCTAAGAATCAATTGTGGATTTCGTAGGCTTGTAATCGTCGAATAACTCTCGACTTCATTTGATTTGTAAGCTTTCAGTTATGATTTCTTGTGCGATATTGATATTAGTAACTAAATTCATTCGTAGGGATAGGAGATGATTGTTCTTATTCGTGTGTTTATCATCCTATGTGACTCGTCAATCTATGCAAGTTATGTTATACCTAGGTTAGATGTTTGATCACCTTCTAATCAAATTAAACAACTTTTAGAACCGAAAGGGAGGAGTTCTTTGATCTAGGCTTGTATAGAGCAGACTTGTTCGTAACTGTATTACTTATGTGTTGTTTGGTTTGATTGATTTGCCGTTTATGTTTATTATTGAGTTTGAATATCTAGACGTGTAGGTTAATAGAATCATTTAACCGAATGAACAATTGTATTATATTTACGTTTGAAATTAAGAGTGATTATCCCCGACTCCCCAGCTTCTTCATCATTATCTAAATCTTCTTAAAAGTTGAAGATGGATTAACTGTTTTGTTTTAAATCTTTAGTTGTTAATCAAAAACTCAAACCAAATTGAATTAGAGTGCTAGGAATTTATTTCTTTTTCGTGTGTGAATAACGTGCAAAATAGTCCGGCAAGCCTTCCTTGTGATACGACACGGAGATTGAATCTTTCGATTTGACTCCAGTAAAAGTAACTACAACAAAAAAATTGATTATATTTTTATTTTTAAAACTATTTATTTGTTTTTTATTTTTATATATGATAACTCAATATTATCATATTTCAATGATCTTCGATTTGGAATTCATATTGCATATTCAAAATAAAAAATAATTTCATCTTTATAAATAAAACAAAATTTATTATCAAAACAATTTAAAAAGCCAAATAACAATATAATTTATTTTATAAAAATAACTAAAAATCAAATTCATTGATATACCATAAAGTAATCATTTTACTGTGATTTTTCTACATATTTTGGATAAAATTAAGTATTACATACAATAATTTTAAAAAATAGTATAAATATTATTTCTCCATTTAAATAGATTATATAAAGAACTGAATATTATTATGTCATAAAATAATAAATATTAAAGAATATCATAATTAAAAATCAAAGATAATTTTATAATTCATAATGTTAGAAAATAATACATTTCTACGTAAATTAGTGTCTAAATTATTAAATTATATGAATTTAAAATACTTGAAAAAATAATGAACAAGAGATGCCGACTTTATAAATATAACATAATCCCAATACAATAAACGTTGTTTTAGTTTAAAAAAATCAAATTATGGAGTTGTAAATAATATATGTTTTAGACATATATAATTGTAAAAATATAATTAAATATATATCATATTTGACAAATTTAGTGTAAAAATACTGACGCCATTTTAAATTAATTATCTGTTGGTTATTTATTGTTGTTGTATATTCATTATACAAAATTTCAGGATAAAAATATGAATTATTTTAATTTCTTTTATTGTACAAGTATTAATATATTTAAGTACTCGTGTAGTACACAAAAATCGTACAAGCTTATATAATTCATCATAATAGGCTCATGCAATGTATGGGCTATTTGCTTGTTAAGGAAAAACACATCTATTCAAAATTAACATGTTGTATAATTATAATTGAAAATTATGATCATTAATTTTTTTGTTATTTGAATTCCATTGTTAGAGTATACTATTAATAATATACCAAACATAAGGGATACCTTAGGTACATATTATTTTTTAACATTATAATTCTGCATGCCGGTTTTTTATTTCTTTGAAACAATTTTCTTTTTCAATGACTACATCGGAGTTGTGTTTATTTATAATTTTTCAATCAAATATCATTTAATGAAAATCGATGTTTGAAACTAAACTATATATATTAATATATAATTTATAAATTCAAAATCTAATAAAAATATTGATGTTAGATGGTCTTATTATATGTGTTAATTAATTTATTATTGTGTTCAAATACTTTAGATGATAAAAATAAAATATAATATTGAGTAAAACTGATAAATTTATAATAACTATGTTTCTTATGTTTTAATATTTTATATTATATTCATAATTTCTTGCGTAAAATACATTTTTTTTTGTGTTGTTTTTCATGTTCTATCATATGTTTTTCTCTAATGTTTTTAGTTGATTTCCGTATCTCCTATTTAATGTTCTATCTTTTCCTAAAACAAGTCGTTGGGAAACATTATTTGAAATGCTATTTGCTTAATGTTTAATGATAAAAATGATAAATTTATAAAAAACTATGTTTCTTATGTTTAATAATTCATACTAAATTCATAATTTCTTGTACAAAATACATTTTCTGTGTTCATCATGTTCTATCATGTGCTTTTCTTTCAGTTATTATTAGTTGTTTCCCATATCTCCTATTTAATGTTATATTTTTTCTTAAGAAAGGTAGTTGGGCAATACTATATGACATGTTATTTGCTTAATGTATATTTTATATAAATCTAAAGATTGTATGAGATTGCCGTTGGACTCTTACAAAAATTTAAATTATCATCTTTTCTATTCTAAATAAATCTTTGATACTATTAAAATTCTCAAGACTCCAAGTTTCACACATGTACTCACTTTTTCTCTCAGTATGGACTATGGAGAGCTTGGTACATAGGGTGAGTGGGTTATGGTGTTTCTATTAATTATTAAAGTAAAATCCTCTTTTTACCAGAGTTTGTAAAATCCTCTTTTCTATTAGTTATATTAAATTAAATTCTTTTATACCGGGATGTTTAAGTGTGATTCCAATTTTTCCATTACAAAAATCATTCTTCATGATAACTCAATCTCTAAAAGATCAAATAAATAGCAAAGTGTAAAGGCAAATACCTGTTCTGTGATGCAGGCCATGGCCTCGATAACAAGGGCCACAACATCAGAGCGACGAACGGCACGAAAAGCTCGGTTAACAGAGAGCGCCTCAGTGGTGCTACCAGATGAGGCTACAGCTGCTCGCTTTCTGATACCAGCTGTATCTATAAGACGAAATTTCTGAAANGAAAAAAAAAAAAATATATATATATACATATATTATAACTATTACAGTTTGCCAATACATTTAAATTGTTGAAGATAGAATCAAATGGTTCTAGTTTTTAAAGTTTTGCAAGAGTCCTTTTTCTATTAAATGAAGAGAAGTATGATTGCACAACCATCCTCTAAGTTCTAACCAATTCTCCTCGACACAGTTTTAACCGCTCCAATAGTCTGAATGAGACATGACTCAATGTCCCTTCAGGTGAAAGATAAAGCTCAGCCACAAGTAAAGCTCTTATTTTTTTGCACGTTGTAGGAGGAAAACAAGAGGATGGGTAGTTTCATCAGCATTTCCCCCTTTTGACATTTGAGATCCGTACAAGTTCAGCAATTTACTTTAGAGCTACATAAAATATCAACCTTTTTCAAAGCCAAATTAAAATATCTCTGATCACGCCTACAATTTAAAACATCTCTTTTATTTTTACTTACAAAAGACATCAAACATAACATTAATAAGTGTGTAACCATCCACCTATTTTTGTAAGTAATGCCCAGCCGAGCTTGGGACTTACAGGAATTTGACATGATATGTTCAGCGATCCATACAACACTGTGAGAATACAGAAGCCTCAAATGCTTCTTTTTCTTCGTCTTTTTTTCTTTTCTTTTTATTTTTTTAATCAAGTTCAAAAAATCTATAGCTTTAGAAATTAATAAATAAAACCAACCTGGCCATCCGACCCGGTAAATTCTGTATCTATAGCATCACGAGTAGTTCCACTGACTGGACTTACAATCGTCCTGTCCTCTCCAACTAAGGCATTCAGAATACTACTCTTTCCCACATTTGGACGACCAACTATGGCTATGGCCGGAACATATTCTTCCACATCAGCGTTCTCTGTCTCCTGCAGTGGATAATTTGAATCCGTTCATTTCTATTAAACAATACATTCTACACATATTGAGAAAACCTCAACATTGGTGGCCAATTAATAAAACAAAATAATGTGGTATTACAAATCAGGAGAGTAAAAGAAAGATTAAATATATGCTTGTAAGCTAAAAAGGGCAATGATCTAAACATATGATCCAAGACTCAATGGTATGACGAGGCAGCAGCACGCAGGCATTAATACGCAGAGTTCTGCTTCTAGTGGTACACCAGCCACACCAATTCCATCTCTTAGGATTTCCAAATAGGAAATGGGAAGAACAAAATATCAAGCTCTGCTAACAATGGTCTCGATAGTAAGAATCCCAGAAGCAAATATTGGTTGCAGATCAGCAAAGGATGAACTCTCCACCCAACAAGTGTGGCATGTGAGAGATTCACTCTGAAAGATCTTGCAAGCAAATCTTGTAGGAAAAACATGATATTGCATATTTAATAAACAAGAAGAGACAACTTCCAGCATGTTGTGTGAAAGACTCAAGTGTTGAGTCAAAAATGGGCTGCCAGCCTCCTTTCTTTGACAGCCAGAAGAAAGAAAAATTGCAGCAGCCCTCGTGCTGAATTTTGTTGAAAATTTGAGCACACAAGTATTGAAAAGAAGGTGCACTCTACCTCTATAAATAGAGGAGCAAATTTTGATGAACAACACACCAAATACAACCAAGAGAAACACCAAAAGAAGAGAGTGAAAAGAAGTAAAATATTTAGCTTCTGTTTGAGTTGTGAGTTGTGAGTGAGTTTGAGAGTGTTTTGTAAACACGAGTGTACTTTTTTTTCCTACTAATAAAACATCTGGAGACGTAGAGACGTAGGCAATATTGGCCGAACTCCGTTATCTATGTCCAATTTTTCTTTTTTATTTCACTTTTATAGATCCGACTTCATGGAAAATTCAGCTTATTTTTCCCAACATCAAGGAAGAAGGGATTCAACTCGAAAGGATTTCTCATGTGAATATGAATTATTTAGTCTCATGATCATAAAGGACGAGTATTCAGCAATATGTTGATGAATAAGTTAAAAGCCAGACTGCATATAAACTAGGTTTCAAGTCAAGAATTTATTTGGGAGAAGTGAAGCAGCGCTCCAATTTGTGCAAGAAGCAAGAAGTCACCTCTATCCTTTTTAATTGTGAGCAGACAGAATCAAGAAGCTCCCCAGTTCCAGTCCCAGATATTGCAGATATTGGGATGGGTGAGTACCTAATACATTAGCGAAACAGGAACCAAAAATTAACATGAGATGGCAACACATTGACAAAATCATCAATTATATCACCCTGACTATATACACATATGTTGAAACATAGTAATAATATATTGTGTATACCTCAATATTGTTGAGTCTAGCGATTAATTAAACCCCTTCTATCCTTTTTACAATTTTCTTGAAATTGATTGTTGAAAATCAAACTTTTATATAATGAGGCACCTAAGGCTATGTTTGGTAGACCGATAAGCTAACTTATAGCTTATTTGATTAGCTTATAAGCTCCTTGTATTTAAATAAGCTCCGTTTGGTAGGACGAGCTTATTTAAAAAGCTCGAGCTTATTTTATAAGCTTATTTTGGTAGCTTTTCAAATAAGCTCGTTGAAAATTTTATTTCAGCTAGCTTATCAGAGCTTTTCAGCTATAAGCTATAAGCTCGAAAATTACTAATCAGCTGTAAGCTAGCTTACAGCTAGTTTTACCAAACAATAGCCTAACTCTCCATATCTGCATGGCTTAAAATGTTAATACACACTAAACATCACGGAAATGAGGCAGCTCACCCCAAGGCCCAGAACTCTGATGCTTGCATGAATCCTTTACGAGGAGATTCACATTTGTTTACTGCAAGAACGGTACATTTGTGTGAATAGTTCTTACGAAGCCAATCCCCTATTTCAACATCTGCTGCAGTTAGACCTGCCTGTCAATGTATCATTGCATACTATGTTTTACTGCACATTGAACAAGACTTGCAGTCCAGCACAATAAGTCAATGATAACGGAATGCCAAGTTCACAAAATTCATTATAGGAAAGTGCTACACCATTCAGATGCAGAGAGAGAGAGAGAGAGAGAGATTTGATTTCACAAGTATCAGCTTAGAGCAGCTAACCTGCAAACACTGATTAAAAAAAATATTTGCTGAATGGAGAAAACAACTTGGAATAACAATCTCACTTTGGAGAGATAATAATAATAATAGTAATAATAATAATAATAATAATAATAATAATAATAATAATGATGATGATGATGATGATAATAATAATAATAATACCGGGGAGTCTAGCCAAGCAAATGATCATCGGAAAGTGGTGCAGACACCCGCAGGATCGAAGCCCTAAAGAAAGACCCCGCTTACCGTGACGGAAGAAAGACGGAAAAGCTACTCTCTAAGCCACAAACTTATAATCGTTTCCCGAAGGAGTTACTATTTTTATGACTAATCGATTTCCTTGTCTTTTTTCTTGGACAATATTATTTGTAGATAATAATAATAATAATAGTAATAATAATAATAATAATAATAATAATGATGATGATGATGATGATAATAATAATAATAATAATAGTAATAATAATAATAATAATAATAATAATAATAATAATAATAATAATAATAATTTTTCCTTTTTCCATTTAATATCTTCCCAAGATTAGCAAAACTGAAAACAAATCCGTCAATGCACAAAAAAGTTCAATGGATCTGGCCACAAGCCCTACCATCATCAGATAATGAATGAGTTTAGTTCTTCCAAATATCATCCAAACCATATAACGGTGCCTCAAAGCCACTGAAAAAATAAATCTAAAACCTTTTAAAGATAGGTGCTACATGATGAAATATGTGCTGGGTAACCACACCATTCAGACGAGATAAATGCACACAAACACAGGTTGTCTTGATAAACAAGCTGCACCATGCACACACAATCATACCTGGCCATCGACAAGAAATATGATGACAGATGACTCCTCCACAGCAATTGCAGCTTGCCTCTCGACCATGGAAGGCATCCTTGCAACAGCAGCCTCCCTCGAGGCCAGAGGAATACCCTCCATGCCAATGGTTGTCGATATAGCAAGTTCTTCCATCACGTCATTCTGAGACTTCGAGATTGTAAGTACGCCTCCCGTATCCACCACCATAAACTCATAGACCCCCCAAAATGACCTGCCATACAAACGATCCCTGGTAACGCCTGGTTCGTCAACTACAATGGCTTTGTTGCCCTGAAATTTGACAGCTGGCGTTAATTAAGCCTTGATGTGAAACATTGAAAGTAAATGACAAAAATAAACTGACAAATTTACTTCAGAGCAAAATGATACAAACCCCAACAAGACGATTAAAGAGTGCTGATTTACCAACATTTGGCCTTCCAACTATTGCTACCTTCGGAAGAAGATGATCAGGGATCTGAGGAAAATATTGATACACAGCAAATTATCACATGGTATATAAATGTGTTTGTTTGTCTCTGTCCGTCAGTGTAGCGCTTAAGACACCCAAAAGGTATTGAAGATAGAAATAGTTGCATATGGTTGCATTCAAATAAATTCGCCTACTTTCTTTGGACACTTAAAACTAAGCTTGCACTGTCAACTATCAAGTTCTCAGTTTTCGTAGCAACATGGGTGAAATAAAAGAGGGCTAATAATGTCATATACTAACCATAGGCACAGCAGTCTAATTTAATTCTAGATGGAGAAAATGCCAATTTACTACTTACACTGGCAGCTGGTAGGAACTTAATTATAAAGTGAATAGAGCAATAAAATCCAGAAAAAAGAATTACTGAAATGATTACTCGAGATAGACAGTATTAACTCGGCGTGGTTTAATTAAACCCCTACATTTCTGCAACTCCAGTGCCCTCCATTCTCAATCAGCTAGTATAAAACAAGGATATATACAGAAAACACTAAAAGAGAACTACATGAAGACACAGAGAAAAGAGGTTCACCGACATTGCTACTGCTGGTATTCGCTCCCCTCTTCTGCTTTCCCCGAGCTTCCTTTGGATTGGAAACTTCATCTTCTGAATACAATAGAATACAGGTGATCTTCAGAGTCAACAATGGAAAAAAAAAAAAGACACCAGCAGGTGTACACATACAGCACGCACTTGTCCATCTCAGTTTCCGTTTCTCACAATTGTGTCAATGCATATGATAAAAGTAAAAGAAAATTAACCAAGACGAAGGTCAAAATTTCAAGAGACTGACCAATTCTCAGCTCACGCAACAAAGAATCAGAAAACTCTTTCAGAGCCTGTTTTGCCTCTAGCTCAAGTTCTTGTTCGTCAAAATTCTCCTCGACCTCGTCGCCGTCGGATGAGGATTCTTCTTCATATTCAAGTTCGACGCCTTGTTCGTATTCACAATTTTCCCCAATATCCGGCGACAAAAAGTCGGCATTCTCTGTGGTCGCGGAGGAATTGATGGCGGGCAATGGGGCAAAATACCGCGGCCGCAGATTAACACGGCGGAGGCGGTGGCGGGCGACGGAAAGAGACGAGGAGAACGGGAAATTGAGAGATTCCGAGAGGTGAGGGAACAAATAACAGTTCCTAGAGATAGGTATTGAAGCTCGCATGTCCAATGATAACATCTTCTGTGAGTGTATGAGAGAGAAAGAGGTTTAGCGGCAAAAATGCCAAGCAGAACTAAGGTTTATCCATAGCTGCTCTTTTCTACCAGGTAACGGAGCAACTACAGCAGATAATAATAATAATAATAATAATAATAATAATAATAATAATAATAATAATAATAATAATGATTAGACATGGCAAAAGGGCCGACTGGCCCGCCGACCCGGCCCGGACCCGACATGGATCAGACCCGGTCAAATCCGATGATCATGGGTCCGGGACCGACCCGGATTTTAGACGGGCCGTGTAAGGGTCATACATTTCACGACCGTGTTCGGGCCGGGCCGGTCAGTGATCCTCCTTTTCTATTATTTATTATTTGTTTTATTGTTTTTAAAAAAGTAACGTACTCGGCCCGGACACGAATCCGGCACGAGTATAGATCCGTGCCGGTTCAGGGTCATTATTTCCGAACCCGTCGGCCCGGGTTTTAGCCATGTCTAATAATAATAATAATAATAATAATAATAATAATAATGTTATAAAACTATAGAGAAAGAGAGAGAATAGAGAAAATGTATTCTCATAGGTACAATTTTCATTATAACTGAAGCTCTTATTTATAGAAAAACTTCTTATGACACAATCGTAATAATACAATTACATCAGGGGCAAAATAGTCATTCACATATATATATATATATTATCACCTCGTGGTGCATGCACATATATATTATAACACTTCCCCTTGAATGACTATTTTCTAAATATCATTATTCAATCAAAACATAATATGAACATCTTGAAGTGTATCTTGTGGCCATCAAGTATCGTTGCTTCAGCATGTCAGGAAAACCCGGTGGGACAAAACCTGAACATTGTGAAAGCACAACTTTGCTCCATCTTAAATAAATCATTTTTAGTGGAATATCCATGTGTTGCCTCGTTAAAACCTTGTCAAGAAAACCCAGTGGGAAAAACTTGATCGAAGGAAAAAGAGTACAGCTACTCCAGTCTCCCTTATCATCGTGAGGAATCATATCATTTATCCAGTAGTCTTCATCATACCATGAATATGCCTCGTTAAAACCTTATTAGGAAAAACCCAGTGGGACAAAATCCTAATGAAAGAAAAAGAGTACACTATTCATGTGAATACGCCATCCATGTTGCCTCATTAAAAACCTTGCTAGGAAAACCCAATAGGACAAAACCTCAGCCAAGGGAAAAAGAGTACAACGCGTATTCCATATATTCACCATAATAATCTTTCCATAATTTGCATGAGTGTCATATAAATTCATTCAGATTTTCAGATACTGATGGTATTCATGACAATATGTCATATCATGCTTTGTGCAACTTTTATTCTTAAACTCATTTTCATCATCAATTAATTTCAATGGTCTTACTGCCAATAGTTCCCAATATTCACATTTCATCTGATTTCATTCTCGTCAATATCATTTATATAGCGCTATTCATTTGTTCGTGTCGACACTTATTCATTTCCATTATTCCCCGTAGTATATTGAGATATCTCATTATCAATTGATTCCATCAATGGTATATATATGACTCATTTCATCACTTATTTGGGGGATTTCAATTTGCACACTATCAACGCTTACAGCGTATTATTCCACCATCATATCATTTCATATATTTCACCATCATCAGTATCATACAATTTATGATTTGCACACTTTCAGTGTGATGCATATATCATTTCCAAATTTCAATCATTGATTCTCCCCCTCATCTTAACAGATCCTTGATCTGTATTTTCAATATTGAATTTCTTGAGGGGAGTTCATATAATCTCCATTTCGTTCTCGATTTCAACAAATATTTGGAGGACTTTGAACTCATATCATTTTGTAATGTGCACATTTTTCTTTCAAGAGTTCATCATATCAGGTGAGTATATTACTAGCTTCAGCACTCTCATATGACACTTATTTTCATTCTTTCATAATCATTTTGTGTCATTCTTTGATCAAACCATCTCGTAACTTCAGGTTACGTGTCATATACACATTTTTTGATCAAATCATCTCGTAACTTCATGTTACGTGTCATATATTCATTATTTGATCAAATCTCGTAACTTCAGGTTACGAATCACACACATGTGGCTATCTAGTGGATCCATAATATCTAGTAGCACACATGGAGGGGTAGTGGGCCCATATATATCGTACCCCTTTCATACTCAGATTGATCAAATATCGATTCACAAATATTTAGCTAGTAATATTTTTTCACCAATCGAGAACAAGCATCTCATATCAGAAAGAATAAGTTCATCATGCAAACCATCATCAATAATATCGGCAAACATTTTTAAAATGATCACAATAATTTGTTGTGACACGTTTATCACAAACATTTCACATCATCTTTCGGCGACAATAAATGCACTTTAAGTGTAGGCCCTGGCACAATATCCTTTAGCCACTGTTTAAATCCAGAATCGTATCATGCCGTCTGACACACATACTTTTGAACACTGTTTAAGTCCAGAGTCGTATCTCATACGCATCATGTTTTTCTATAAATTATCAGGTAATTCACTCAATTTTCCTTAACAAAGGTTCGAATTTACAAATGGATTTAGCACTCTCAAATATCCGTAAATATTATTCTTTTCTTCCGAAAATTATCATAAAAAGGATTTATCGATCTCGATTAGAAAGATTGAGGGTGCTAATGAATAATGGTATTCCAAATGATGTTCGATGGTTGATCGAAGCACAAGTTCGATTGTCAGGAGAGTTTCCAAATTCATATAAATATATGCCAGGTATGGGTAAGAGTACTTTTGCAAAGAAACAAAGAGCAAAAAGATTAGGTGGATGCTTCAAATGCGCTCGATGGACTTGTGACACACAATGTAAATCTGTGGGGTACGTGTCCAAAAATCGAGAAGATAAAATAGCATTTATAAAGGATGGATTGAGTAAGGAGTCTCTGGATCAAACGATTCAACAGATTCTTGAGACACATCCTAGTGGGTATGTGCATCGTGAGCTTATGTCCTTATAGACTCAGTTCAAAATTGAAGAAGAACGTTACAGTCTTGAAAATATTATTTCAAAAGATCAAGTTTGTAAAACTGGTCTTGTTAGTACGAAAAATCATACTAATACAGTGTAGTAGGTTGTACTGTAATTTTACAACGATCCTTATAGCTACAGATAAGATTTATTTAAAACCCAACACCTTATCTGTCAGTTGCAATTTCCAGAAGAAAACAATAAAATCATTTATTGCTTTGTAAAGTTTTATATTTAAATAGCGAGTCGTTCATCATAATCATATGTCTCACAAAGTTTTTTTTTTTTTAAATTCTGTTTATCAATAACTAGATGGATGTTTCAGAGTCTTCGCAAGGTAATAATTTTCTTCAACCGATCAAAACCATACGTGTTCTTGGTGGTTCTAAACTGATAAGTTTTTCTCAAACTATTGATATTGTAAGTCAGTTAGCAAAAGAGATGGGGAATCAAAAAATCAATTTTGTTGTATGGAGGGACTAGCAATACTTTCTATGATAGTCTATTAATGGCTGGACAATGTTTTGAGATAGAAGTGAAAAGCATCATACCTTTTCGTAGAGCTTCAACCAGGGTCGTCAAGGATTCCACAAGCATGATGCTAACTCATTCTATTTATGATTGTATGATGGATATGGTGAACAAGAGCGATGCTTTTATCATTCTTCCAAGCGGTTATGGAACGCTAATGACAATGTTCACCATTGCTTCTTGGGCAGAATTGAAACTTCATACCAAGCCCATAGGTCTATTGAATTTTAATAACTTCTTTCATGGTTTGCTTGGATTTTTAGGCATAGGAGTATATCAAACCTTTATATCTCCTTCAATGAGAGAAATATTCAAATCTGCTGACACGTCTGCTGAGCTTATCAAAAAGCTTCAAGAATGCATCACATTTCAAGATTCTGTGGAAATACAAGGAGTTAAGCGAAAAAGATCTTTTGATCCTTTAGATCTTTCTGTAGGAATTTATAAACAAATAATATAAATTCAATAACAATTATCCTAGAACATGCTTTAATTCTAGGAAAATCAACATCGCTCTAGATCTGAAAGATTGTTAGAAATACCTGGATCCATTGAGTTTCTTTTGCGGAACACGAACTCGATTGATTAATTGGATCAACTGGTATTATGGTCTTCCTCAACTAAATCGCCTTATTCCTCATATGGGACCGTCATTCTCAATTCAGATGGGGAGAAAAGAGAACTATGTGTGATTTAGTATATTGGGGACCATAACCAAGAGGGTCTTTATATTCTACTAGGGTAGGACACCCATTATCACCTAACCCTAATAATATTAGGTATCCACTCAATCAGCCCACATCAATTTAAGTAGCCCATGAACTCTACTCTATTTAGATCACTTAATTGAGTTCATTAATTAATTGAATAACTAATATAATTGTATAGAATATGTTGCCCATAATTAGATTATATATAGGAAATAAAATATTTCCTAACAATCTCCCACTTGGGGTACATATTATTTCCAGAGTAATTGCGCAACTTTATGCTATTCATCTTCAGACTACCTTAAACAATCTGGTCCATCTCATATACTAGCAATGGAACTACCGCGGCTTTCACCACATTTCAAATCGTGGTTAAACCCCGAAAATCACCATACTAGTATACTCAATGACATAGATCAAATATGGTGAGTGGCATGGAAATTACATGCAATGTGGTCTTTATCATGTCTATTTCCAACTGGTCCAACTTTAAATCCTTAGTGAGATCAACCATAAATGCAACACAAAGTCACAAAAATAGAAAACCTTAGTGATTCATAACGAATCATAACCATCAACTTTATTCTGCAGAAAACTGAAGTTATAACATTCAAGAATACATTGAACACTAACTCCCACTGAACTAAGGCATTATCCATAGTAACACTTATATGAGCGGTATACTCATAGAATAAAAGTGTTAATACCTTAGTATACCTTATGATGGAGCTATGAATTTGCTAGCATAAATTCATCCTTATGTGTTCAGTAAAAATTCATCAAAGTGAATTTTATCCTTATCCCCAGAAAACTTTGTGA